CTTGAGTTTGGAGGATTTCACTATAACAGAGCTTATGTGAGTAAAATTATAATTATACATGTTTGAAGCAATTTCCATTCTAACTGTAGATTAGCAGCAATGGATTAGTCAGCTTTGGTAGAGCCTATAATTCCTTCTCTCCAAGGAACTTCCCCCTTCAAAATAGTTTAGCTGTTGTGGCTCCATATTGGGATGACAGTCGTTTGTCAGGATCGAGACAGTTACGCTATCAAATTGTATCTGGATCATCATCTCTCATCACTGAAGTCAATGCCTTCCTATCCAATTACACTGGTGATACATTTGAAGCTGATTGGCTGCTGTGGGCTTACTGGCATGATATATGTCCTTATAATAGAGGAAACTGTCAAGACGTATGTAACTAATGATTTTATTATGTGATTATAATTTTTATAGTCAAACTTCTTTCAAGTGGCTATAGCAGTCCAAGGAAGTATAACGTATTCAATATTTACATATCAGTGTGGTCTTATCAGATGGACTCTTAGAACTGCTGCTGTTGGTTACAGTGCAAATAGTACCTTCAATGAAAACCATAAACTGTCAAAAAGTAGTAGTGTAGTTAATATTGACTGTGAAGGAGCTGTATCTAATTGGACTAATGTTGTTTACAGAATTGATACTGGTAAGGAATTGTTGGTTGTTATTTGGGAGCCTTTTTAACATTATTGCACTTTAAAGCCAAGCATAATTTGCAAAACTTTGTGATTACATAATCAAAGCTACTTTTAATTTATATTCCACAGCAACTAATACTCCACCAGTCATAGAAGCTAGTGATACTTTTATGATAACAGTAGGAGAGACAGCATTATACACACTATGTATCACAGACCCTGGAGATACTATCAGTGTTACTATTGAATTCAATGGAGAGTTTCCATTTCCATACACACTTGATCAAAATGAATCAATATGGACACTTAATGTAACACTGTCTTCTTTAGTGGAGTTCAATTTTACTGTAATAGCTACTGACTCATTCAATGAAACATCAATTATAACTCCACAAGTATGTATTATACGACACATTTTTAGCATTTGTAGTACACATGTATTAAATTTCATTATTTAAAATGTGATAATATTCTGTCTTCTCCAATATTAGGTGATAATTTGTAGCTGTACAAGTGATAAAGGTAATTGTACTATTGATGAATATGAGAACGATACCAGCAATCCATTGATACTGATGTGTGATTGTATGGAAGGTAATTGTATGCATAATAGTTACATATATTATTTAAACAATTAGTTATCAGTGTATTGCATCTAAATACATGTATTTATTTATCAAGTAATATTAGTGCTATTGTACTATTAATTTTAGTAGAAGCACAAATTTTGAGTGAGTAAAAATTTGAATTAAAAAAAATTAATATTCCCCACCTCTATCTAGGTAAGCTAGGCCACTCCAATAAGGTGCATGGATTATTTCACCTTTTATTCCCGAGTTCTATTAAAGTGGCCTAAATTTCTATCAATTTTATTTCCTCATCATAATTATTATTGCATTGTGCCAATGCAAAGCAAATAGGCCTTTGAAGTGCCTGTGACAACCTGTTGATGTAATTATGACTGCTTTTGATTTAAAAACCAATACAAGTCTAACAAGAGTACCATTATTTTTTATGTAATAGCATTTGACGGAGAATATTGTGAGGATGATTTTAATGGCTGTACTGAAATATCATGCTTCAATAATGCTACATGTACTGATGTACCAGCACCTGGAACTGGTGCCACTTGCCCACCTTGTCCTAGTGGATACACTGGAGATGGAATTGTTTGTTATAGTAAGACCATATGCACCTAAATATTGTATGATAGGAATGATGATTTATAATTAACTCATTTGTTTAATTTTTGTTTGCCATTATTTTGTTACTGCTCTTATCTTTATTAATATTACGTATTAAATTATACTTGCTTCTTAGTAAACACTAATTATATGTACCAAAATGTACTATTATTATATTGCTTAAATGCTTCCAATTCTATATGTGATAATCACTATTCTTGTATAGTTCCTCCAGTTTTTCTTCCCTACATTGTGTTCAACAGCAGTATATCAACAGTTACTAATATAACCAGACATTACTTTTACTCTACATGGAGAGTCAATGTTCCAAGACCTATTACTTTATTAGGCTCTGCTTTTTCATCAATTTATGTGAGTTTATAACAAAAACCTATTAAAGTTAGTGGTGCATATTTTCATTTGATTTTTTCAGATTTCCATTGGGGGCACTTTCTCTATGAGTGGTCGTTTTAACTATTTGTATCCAACCTTGTTTCCAAGTAGTATACGTGGTATAAGAGATTCAGTTGTGTTTGCTCCTATGTGGAACTTTTATGACATCAGGAGGGAAGGCATGTGTACATGTACCGTTATATTCATGTGTGATAGAAAGTACAATTATTTTTAAAAGTGGGTTTGAGCTAATTTATTGTTTGTAACAGTACGTGTGCCATGAATATAACAATAGTCTTGATCAATGATTACATTGTGGAGGCATTAAGTATTACAGGTTTTTGCTTGTTACAGATTTTGTGATAGTGGAACAAAACTTTTCACTAAATTTTTGAGAATGGAAGGAATGGATATTTGCTTATGACAATGGAATGAGTCGA